CACAGGGTTAGAGCTAAAGGAACAGGTCTAATATGGAGTCAGATTTGTTCTTCCCTGTTACATCACTCTTCTACATCTTTAACCCGAGGACAGAATACCCTGGTGAGCTTGACCCAGATTTTATCTGTTCTCAGCTTGTCTTGACCACGTACTACAGAAGTTCTGGCTCCGCCTCCATGCCCTGCTATCTGACTCAGCTGAAGACACTTGTTGCACATCTCCGATATATTCCGCTTTGACCTACTCCCAAATCCTGGTGGGTAACCATAGTGAGCTTAGAAACAAAAGATGAACAGAGCTGGCTCTCTCTCATCTGTATTCCTGCTAAGTTCAGTGATAACTAGAGGCCCTGGCTGTGGTTGACCTATGTGTTTTCCAGGATTCATGTCTTTGCCTGCTAACTTTTTCAAAGTGGAGGAATTCTGTTAACTTTGTGGAAAGCTGAAACTGGACATAGAGATTGTGACATAGAGATTGTTGAGTTTATCTTTTTCTTTCTTCCCTTAACTACCTTCATTTATAAGGGTACTATGCCCTCGTGTATCTAGGTTTGTGATTTCCATTAATTTTTTCAAAACTAGAAATACATTGTTTAGTGATTATATATATATTTATTAATATATTAAAAGTAAAACTAATCAGAAAACAAGGGAATGATTAACACAGAAGTCAAGATAATCGTTACCTCGGGGAGGGGAAAGCGGATGGGATCAGGGGTCTCATAAAGACCTGGTAAAGATCTGTATTTAAAGCAGTGCAAGTGGCTGCATGGAAATTAATCTCATTAATTTCTCTTCATATGTGTATTTATATATAAACTCTTATGTATATTCTTACATGTGTTTTATGCATACGAAATAGAAATTTTTCCTTTTTTAATTGACATAAAATGTTATATTGCTATTAGAGGTGTACAACATAATGATTTGATATTTATATAAATTGCAAAATGATCACCACAATAAGTCTGGTTAACACTTATCACCATTACATTGTTATAATATTTTTCCTTGTGAAGAGAGCTTTTAAAATCTACTCTTAGGCAACTTTCGAATATGTAATACAGTATTATTAACTATAGTTACCATGCTGTACATTACATCCCCATGACTTATTTATTTTATAAGTGGAAGTGTGTGCCTGTTGATCTTCTTGACCTATTTTGCCCACCCCCTACCCCCTGCCTCTGGCAACCATCAATCTGTTCTCTGTATCTATGAACTTTTTTTAAGATTCCGTATAAATCAGATCATATGGTATTTGTCTGACTTATTTAATGTACTCAGAGTTCATTATGTTGTTGCAAATGGCAAGATTTCCTTCTTTTATGTGACTGAATAATATTGCATTGTGTGTGTGTGTGTGTGTGTGTGTGTGTGTGTGTGTGTGTGTATGAGAG